TCCCTCCTTCAGTTCTCTTCAGAGGCATCACGTGGGAAAAAAAGAGTTCACATAAAACTCTTTATGTGAAACAAGCACTCTCCATCTTTCCTTTAGAAGCCTCTCATTTTTTTTTTTTTAAGTTAGAGAACCACCCAAGGCCAGTGTGCCCCACCCACCCCTCACCAGGGGCTGGCTTAGGAAGAAGGGACTGACTGGGACTGAACAGATCTTCCAACTAACTCAGCTGATGGATATGAAAAAGTAGTAGCCAACTTTCAGGAGGAGTATCGCAACAGGTCCGTGGGGATTCAGGTGTGCCCGCGGTGGGGAGGGCGGAGGAGGGGAGGCACGGGAGAGGAACCTTGGAAGCTCATGGAGGGATGGAGGTAACATTTTTCTCCAGGGACTGTGGGACGCTTAACTTTTCCTTCCAAGGTTGTGGATTGCCCGAAGAGGCAAGTGTTCCTTCCCAACATTTCTCATTTGAATACATGAAAATGTGAGTTGATCTTGGCAAGGTGAAGCTCTCTCACGGCCAGACTGACGGTTTTGTCGCCCGCGGGCGAGGCCAGGTGGGGAGCAGCTCCGGCTTAGACATCCGGCTGCGGACAAACCCGGATCACGGACTCCGGGGACCTTCTGAAACCTGGCGGCAACTCAAGGAGCAACTGACAAACTCAATGCCTGTTTTTATTTTCAGCAAAATTATCGAAGGCTCTGAATATGCGTACGTGTAGCGCAAAGGCACACCTGGACAGGTTTGCAGCCCAGAGCAATAAAGGATCTGGTTATAGCACTGGCCAGACAAGGCCAGTCAAGTGGCCCCAGGACTCCCACCGACTGGAGACTGGACGTCTTGCTCGCCGTGAACTGATTCCTTAATGAGGATTTAATGGCAGAAGAAAGAGTAAAAAGGAACGCCTGAGGGCAGAAAAGGGGGGGGGTAAGCAGTGATAGAACAGGACCCCCGAATGCTTGTCCTGAGCTTACCCTGGTTGGGTAGTAGTGAAGACCGCTGGCCAGGGCCCCTGGCCATGGAAGACCAAGGTTGGCTGCTGAAGGCACTCAGGCGACCTCCCAAGCCGCGCGCACCTCAAACCGTCAGGACAAAGCACAAACAAGTACCAAGGGATGCTTCCAGTGTAGCCTGCTGGGTGCAGCCCGGAGCTGGTCCTAGTCGAAGTCGACTTTGAACCCAGTTAAAGACCACTGGCCTTTAGAATTAGACTTCGAGCCTAATTCCCCGCACCCACCTACACACACACACACACACACACACACACACACACACACACACACACACACGGACTGGAGAAGGACTTAAGCTTCTTATCTGGTGGGGGGCGGGGCCCGCGGAGGAACTCGGACCACCCAGCACCAAGCTTGGCCACCGCGGCCTTGACCTGGCGATAGTCCTGAGATGAGAGGTAGGACCAGGAAACGGGACAGGCTAGAGAGACCCAGAGGGGGAGTCCTCAAGAGACTTCAGCGGTAGCACCACAGAGGAGGACCCGCTCAAGGTTCTACACTCCGCCCACCTCTCAGTTCAGCCACACTGGAGCACCAAAGGCACCAGTTGGTCCCAAGACAGGGTCCTACGGTCATTTCTCCTCCTTTCATCCCGTATCCTCTGTGTCCCTCTGCTCCATGAATAGCTGTGGGAAAGGCCAGATCAATCTGGGAAGGGTAGGCTAAAGCAGACAAGTTGGTCAGGGGACCTTGTCATTGAGCAGACCCCAAGGGCTTAAACAGACTGAAGTAACAAGGAAGGCCACCTTCCTGGCTGCCCTGGCTCCCTCGATTTACCCCTTTGGGCTACCTGGAGCACCTTAGTCTGTGACCTATGGTCCTCACTTGGCAAGTTCCAGCTTGGGGCATCGCAGAAGAGTCCCCCTAGTTCATTTCTTGTGAGTTCGCTCAGTTCCCCAGAGCTAAAGGGCAGGTTTACTTGCCCAGTTTTGCTCTAGCGTAAGGGCCCACGTATGGAAGATGTTAGGAAGAAGCAAGGTTTAGGAGGCTTGGACTCGGAATCCGAATGCCAACTAGCCAGCAACTGAAGAGAAGACAAGTCAGCTTCCCTCCACTCTCTCTCCTGCCCTCCGCCATAAGTGGGGGGGGGGCAGTATCAAAGACTTGGAAAGAAGTGACCCTACTGTTTCACTTTTAAACCTGAGGGAAACTGGCCACTTGGTTCACTAAAACTTTACCAACTGAATTTGTTAGGCGTCCAGAAAGGCCAAGACTAAATGCACAGAAGTCATCCAACTACGGCTTTTGGCTTTTCCTTCTTCGTGACTTCAGACAGTAAACTGAATCCTGGCCGCCTAACGCCTTCTCCAGTTCAATCCAGTCTAGCCCAGCGGTGTTGAGAGAATATACGTACAGGAGGCAGCTGTTTGCAGGAATCGGGTCACTGATCCTAGAGCGCCAGGATCCAGGCTTTAAACCGGCCAGAATCTATTCCATACCACCAGTCTTGGATTCTGAAGACACTAGCAAGAAATTTCACTGTGGTTTCATGCTATGAATGACCCCTTTCTCCTTTTAGGTAGACTTGAAAAGGTGGGGGGGGGCTAGTAGATTTGGGAAACAGACTGAAAGAACCTGTGATATTTTAATCAACCCCCTTCCATGTGACAGGGCACCTCCCCCCCCCAAGTCATCAGCTTTTGATGCACTATATAAAGCTATTACTAAGTTGTTACTTCCCTCAGGAAATGTCCAAGTCATGCTAGGTGTTGTAGAAGAGCCCAGAAGGGCATCAGAGAATCAGCCACGAAGGAACAAGGAAGCTTCCTGGCCCTGAAAGTCCCCAGGACCAGACTGAGGAAGCTAAGTGTCCGTGTGTTTTACAAATGAAACGGATCCTGCTGTCGGTGGGAACTTTGCACAAAAGAATTAGCTTCTGGCATACACCCACAGGTACATTTACACAACTAATGGGAGTGACTTCTAGTCACAAGAGCAGGCTACAGGAGAGGGTTGTCTGCTCTCTGCCGAGTTCTAGGGAGATGTGATTGTACTCTCATTCCTATGCTTACAACGTGATGTCTACACACACACACACACACACACACACACACACACACACACTTTTTGTTCAAAAGGGAATTGTAACCCAATGCTTTTATCTTTCTTATTTCCTTAACTACACATCTTCACCTTCTCTGCTCCCCTGCTGATTTAAAAGATTTGTTTGGTTCAAGGATTTAACGTGATTCTCTTGCCAGATTTCAAGGAAGAAAGATTTAAAAGAACAAAGCGCGGGGTAATGGGGGGGGTATCTATTTGGAAGACAAGTAAAAACGCATTCCTTCAAATGAGATTAATGGCCTTAAAAAAAAGACTTGGCAAAATAAGAATATTTTAGTTTCTTGGTCACTTTAGCGTTTACTTTATAGCTCTTCTAAAGGAAATGTGGTAAATCTACAGCCTGGCGCAACACACACAGGGTCACCGGTCACATTCACTTAGAAACGCACTCGGTAGTTAGACACGTTCACAGACACATGCTGTCGGTCACTCAGAAGTAGGCACCGTCTCTGAACCTATCACAGACTCTGTCTACCCAGCCGAATCTCTTTGATTAGCCTCTTTCCGCGTGACAAGAGGACAAGCCACTACCTAGGAAGAACTGGAAGGAGGCAAGAACTTTGAGTGGGGGAGAATTTCCCACAGTCGTGCGGGATCTTTTGAAAGCCTGATACCCTAGCCCCTCTCCTTCAGGTTAGAGACCGGGTACTACTGTGGGCTGACTCGAGCTTCGTGCTGGCACCTTGTTTAGCGTGGCAGACGCGTTCCAGCACCCAAGCCCTTGTGCTCCCAGTTTCTGCCGGTGTTTAGGGAGATGTCCCCTCCCACTGACCTTTCTCTATCAGAAACCAGACGGTCGCCTCCAGCTCGGTCCCGGAGGCTGCAGAAGGGGGGTGGGAGGAGGAGCCCGGCAGAGAGAGAGGCAGGCCCCTATCACACAAACATCTGCTCTCAGTTTCTTCCTCTTTCTGATCGCTGCAGATGACAAGGGGAGTGGAGTGGACTGAGGCGGAAAGAAAAAAAAAAGTTATGTCATAAAAATATAAAACGGTGCTGTGACTCACCTGCTCTTAGCCGCAGGTACGAGTTTCGTGGCAGCGCCGCCGTTCTGCTAGCCAGGAGCCCAGGTCGGCCTAACGTCACCTGCTCGACTGACTCAGATGACCGGGTTTCTAGTGACGAGGCAAAAGTGGGGCTTTTCCCCATTACAAGCCCGAAGACCGGGAAGTGGGGGTGGTCTCCCAGGGTAGAACTTTGGGTCTAGAATCGAGATGGAGGAGCAAAGGAGCCGAGGAACCAAGAACCAGTAGCAGTCTAGTCCATAAGGTAGTGAGCGCCTCCGGGAGGGAACTCGGGGTCATTCAGCGAGCACGGTCCCTGCGCTGGGGCTCTGACGCCACCACCCCGGTCCTTCTCCCGCAGCACTGCTCTGGTCTAAAGCCCTGGCCTGTCCTCCAGGCACCGCCTATTTTTCTTTTTTTTTCTTTTCCAAAGGGGGTCACACACACACACACACACACACACACACACACACGCCCCATTTTCCTCTTTCCCTAGCCTCGGGGT